GGCCTGGCTGCTATGCCGACTTATTATAGGTGAATATTATATGAACAACCTGTTTTCAACGTACTGCTGGATTCTGATATCATGAGATATTAAAGCTTCATTCAACGTTGTACGGATATGATAGAACTTGTGGACAATTACCTAATGGTGGTCGAGGTTCAATTTATAGATCGCGAATATATATAAACTTGCAGCCAATGAATACCAAATTCTAACGTCACACTATATAATTCAAATGTCAACATACAATCAGCCTAATTAAGACCTCATCAGAGTATCAAGTTATTCAATTGGAACTTCAAGGTTATTCCTAATACGTTACTAGATTTCATATGGAATATATGTTTGGCGCACGGACCTTGGGGAAAACCCTCTGGTGAAATCCATCGCAGCTTTATCTTTATCCCCACAGATCGACAAGGACATTCTACATTGGTCTGCGACATTGTTGTCACCCTATCGATGGCCACATTGAACTAATGAGACCATCCCCTGGACTCATAGGCCACCCAACTTGCACTATTGGTCTCCCACAGCGGCTACCCAGCCACTACTATTCCTACTGCGCAAGCTGCTGTCCCCATGACGCGCATTCAACCACACGAATACAGCCGTCCTTCGTATCACCACCCTTCACAAAATTCCTTCGGAACAGTACCATCAGGCCTACGCTCAGGGTTTAGTCCAGTCTCCCAGTCCGTGTCCGTGGTAGTGAGAAATCCACCTACGACCGATAACGCATCAGAGAGCAACCAAGAGACACGTGGAGGGGCAAACCTAACCGGAAGTGATTCACGTGAAGGAGATATTCTCGAAAACGATCTATACTATGCGCCGATGCCAGTGGGCATAGCTCAACACAGCGAAAGAGATGGGTCAAGGCTAATGTCGGGATCAACCACCAACAGAGGCACGAAGCGCAATCACAACGATGACGATGAGCTCGATGGCGACTCTTCACGGCAGCATAGACGTCTCACGACCAAAGAAGAAGTAGCGCTCTTCGAAATCTGCAACCAAAATGCAGACACTTTCGGCAGCCGCAGTAATCTGTGCAAGTGGTGGATATCTATCGCCGCCGAGTTCAAGCGCACCCATGAGGGCCGCTCATACTCATGGCACTCGGTGCGGCGCAAAGTCGAAATGGTCACAAGGCAGCGCATCAAGTTTCTTGAGGACCAGCGACAGCGGGGCTCAAACGCACCCGGCTCAACGGCCGAAGAATTGATGAACCCGCAATGGCTCGCAGCCGTCGATGCCTGGCTTCCAACCTGGCAGCGGTGGGAAGAAGCTGAGAACCGGCGCATTGCAAAGCGTGACGAGCTTAAGAAACGTAGACAGCCGCAGCCCTGGCGCCAGAATTCCAACAACGGAGACCAGGATCCCTGGCGGAACCTGCCTGGATCATCTGCCACTAGCCCAACTGATGTCAACGCCGCAATGATGAGTATGCTGCACCAGCCTGTCACAAATCCTGTCGGTGATACTGCCCTCCCGGCTACCAGCCCTACGCCCTCGCCCTCAATTACTGGCCCTGCACCACCTGCGCATTTCCTCGAATCACCCTCCACCCCTGTCCCTACCAGCTCACTAAAACTACCTCCGGGGTTCGAGAATATGTTCTCAACCCCACAACTCACCTCACAAGCCGCACCTCTTCCCTCCATATCCACACCACCAGTTCCACAATCCGACGGCCGCATGGTCTCAGCCGTCATCGAAACCCTGGGAAAACTTAATAAACACCTAGACGCTGCATCAAAGGGTGGTATAGACACGAGTGCCGCCTCACCCGTGATATCGGCTTTGGTACAGGCCGCCTCGGAACCACCGGGTTTGGCTTCTCCCCGGCAATCACAGCACCCGCAAGTACAGCATCTGTTACAGCAACAGCAACAGCCGCAGCAAGGTCTCACTTACATTCAAATTGAGCAAATGAAGGAAGAGCTCCGGCAGGAGATGCAGGTTCAGTTTCGAGGTGAGCTGGAGCGTGAACGTCTTGCGATGGAAGAAAAGCTGGATTCTGTGCAGCGGACCCAGGACCTGATTCTTGAGATGTTGAGACAGGAGCCTGCTTGATGCAGTTTGCGACCTTTTCTCTAGACATGGCTTCTGTGGTGTCGCTTCCTTCTATTATGGCTTGTACTTTTACTTTTTTTTCTTTCTATTTCTTTTTGATATGATACCCATTATCGACTGCGAAGGATGGCACGCCTGCATACATGTATCTCCCAAGAAGGCTGATATTGCTACCCAAGTCATTACTTTCTTGATATTCTTGATGAGAGTATTGCAAGACTACTTCCTAAAATTCCATGCACTGAACTTGAAAGGGACCCAGCCGATGGCAATTGCTCTCTACTCTAGAACAGAAAACAAGTAAACAAACATAAGAGAAAATAGTCATCGGGCTAAATTACAGATAAATGATAGAACGACCCAAGAATTTCTTCCCGAGCCTTCACACAACGATTAAAAGCTCTTCCATGATGCACAGAAGTGCCTATAGGGCGGAACAATCTAGTAGTAGAAAGTCTCATCGACGGTACGACCACGCATCCACTTGGGCTCAGAGCCACGGACGTAGATGTCCTCGAAGAGGTTGCGGGCAGTGTTGTCGGGGACGGGCATCTTCTCAGCCTCGGCGACCTCAGCGTCGACGTTGGCACGGGCGGTCTTGTCAAGACCCTTGAGCTCCTCCTCGGAGGTGACGCCCCACTCGAGCATCTTCTGCTTGAGGCCAGCGATGGGATCGTTGGTGCTGCGCATGCGCTGGATCTCCTCACGGCTACGGTAGGTGGTACCGGGGTCGGACATGGAGTGACCACCGTAACGGTAGGTGACGTACTCTAGGACGAGGGGTCCGTTGCCGGTGATGGCGTAGTTCTTGCTGTACTGGACGGCGGCCTTGGTGGCAAGGACGTCCATGCCGTTGACCTTCAGACCGGGGATGTACTGACCACGCTTGTAGTACTCGGTCAGAGCGGAGGAGCGCGAGGCGGAGGTACCCATGCCGTACTTGTTGTCTATAGAAACGTAACGTTAGTACATCTGTGGTTTTTTTTTTTTTTTTGAAGGGTGTGAAGACTTGGAATAGGACCACTTACTCTCACAGCCGAAGAGAACGGGCAGGTTCCAGAGCTTGGCCATGTTGAAGGCCTCGAAGACCTGACCCTGGTTGGAGGCACCATCACCGTAGAGAACGATGGAAGTGTTGGGCTGCTCGTTGTACTGCTGGGCGAAGGCCAGACCGGCGCCAACGGGCACCTGGGCACCGACGATACCGTTACCACCGTAGAAGTTCTCGGCGAACATGTGCATGGAACCACCCTTGCCGTACGCGATACCCTCACGACGACCAAGAAGCTCACCAATGATGGACTTGACGGTACCACCACGCATCATAGCGAAACCGTGGCAACGGTAGGCGGTAATAATCTTGTCCATACGGGTGATGGCGTGCTCAATTCCGACAGCGACGGCTTCCTGTCCGGTCGAGAGATGACAGAAACCCCGGATCTTCTTCTCCTTGTACAGACGATCGGCGGCCATCTCCATACGTCTGTAAAAGAACAAGCAGTCAGTCAACAGCTAGTCGAAACATCCGCTATCGTGCTTATCGTACCTCATGGCGACCATGTCGTAGTACATCTGCTTGAGCTCCTTCTTGGAGGTCTCGAGAGTGTACGGGGGTGGGTCGAGCTCGTAGGTCTCGAAGCTCTCATCGGAGAGACGGACAGTGAAGAGCTTCTCATCCTCCTGTTAAAGCGCAAGCACAAGCATCAGCAATTGAAATTCCGGAACTCTTCGGGCGAGGTTTTTCAGATCTTCCGGATAGGGCTCAACAAACCTGCGGGATTGGGGTCTCGACGTTGGCGGATGCGGCGTCGGTGGTAACAGTGCGACGGGCAACAGGAGTGAAGGCACGACGCCTCAAAGGCGCAGCCTGACGGACCGCGGCACGGAAGAGCATTTTGTGAGGGAATTGGAGATGGTACGTTGAAGGTGATAAGCACCTTTTTCCGTCCCAACAACTCTCTTCAATTTTGCCGTCTTAGTCAGCTTCCAGATCGGGGCCGCCCGGTGAGGAAAGTCAGGCCGGGTCCGATGCTTTCGAACTTCACTTCATTCTTTGAACATTAAATCATTGATTCTGCTTATATTTGCTCGAGTATTCTTGTATTTGGCAATTAATTTCATTGGAATTATCAAAATGGACCATTCCAACTAATAACTGCCGTTTTTACTATGAACTCTTTTCGGGTTTCGATCTCCGATCCGATCCCAACGGTTCGATGAGCCTCTATATAACATAGCAACTTCCAACCCTTGGTGATAGGAAGGTCAAATTCAAGTTTTGCTGGATACCCAATTGCCTATTTTATGCCTTTAGATCATTTAATTGGCTTGTAACGAGTTTAGCAAACAAGTGGTCTTGTGAAGCAGAATATATACAAGACGGATATATTGGGGATTAAAAGGGCAGCACACGAACAAGCTAACAGCCTAGCTTGATAAATGGTCATAGTTGCATTAGCAGTCATGAGGACGGAGTCTCATGTAACCAGAATTGCATATACCAAAGCTCGAACCATGTCTGTTTTGATTGTTGAGGCAGAAAAAAATGCACCCTGAACGGATATCAAAAGGTAATTGACACCAACCTCCGGGCTATTGAGAGGAATGACTATTGAAATGCTTAAAAGGTAAGCCCCCTTCTCGAAAACCCTTTTCAGCAACCTCACAATACTTAACCCTTGGCGAATAAGACCCCGAGAGGATGCTCCATTGACTTTTATTGACCTTCCAATAGAAGTGCAGTTCATTCTGATATGATCTGCTTAACACCGAGCCTCATTATTTAAGACGCTGCATTCCCCCTCCATCGTCGTTTCTGTTTCTGCATCAGCTCCTGAAACCGGTGTAATCAAGGTATATCGTCTCATACCTCTATCCAAGGACAGGAATCTAACAAACGATCAAGCAGCACCAATCTCGATATGGTGAACTCCACCGCCAGAGCAGGCCCTCCGTTTGGACCCCCCATTGGTCATCCCATTGGCCCCGCTACAGAGCCTCTGGTTGTCTTCGTTGCTCGTGGCGCTCCCACTCCCACAGCCATCGAGCTCGGCCAGCTGAAGCACTATCTTCGTCCCGCTCTAGGCGAACTCCAGGAAGTGTTTGAGAACAAGTATGGGGAGCTTGAAGGCCGTTCCTACTGGTACTGTCCATTGATTCACAAATCGATCACCCCACTTGAGCCCGGTAGCGACTCGTTCCGGTCCCTGACTGAATTCCTTGTGTATGGCCGAGCCTACGGCCGCGACATCATGTTTGTCACGAACCACTGGGACTCCATCACCTCTGACGGACCGAGCTTTGCCAATATCTTTAAGGATTTCACCGACGTCAACGTGACTATTCGCGTCCACGGCACGATTTCGGTCGATCACGTTGCCGAATTCCATAATATCGACGCACACCGAGTCAGCGCCCACTACCAAGGCTTGATCAAGCTGGAGGAACAGTATGTCATTGATGATGCACTGCGTTACGTGGTCAGAGTTGAAGAAGTCCGCGCTGTCAGGATTGGAGTTGAGGAGTCGGTTAGCCTGATGGTGGAATTGACAGGCCAACCTGAGACAGAGCTGTTGGAGCGAGTGTTGTGGATGCTTTGACGCAGGAAACCGAGCTGGGGAATTGGGCTGTTTGATATTCATAGAGATACGAGGAAATCTAACGGTGGACGGTTTCCCTCTATGGGTGGAGACATGTGATTCTATGCCCAAGTTTCTTTGTCCAAGGGTTGAAGCACCGATGTACCTTACCAGCTTTGAGAAAGTACTTACAATGCCCGAACAAGCTTTGAAATTTGCTTGTTCTTAAGATCAAATGAAACAATTAATACATCCATATCTCCTTCCTGTAAATGAGATAAATTCCAAGTATTGTATACCCTGGAAACATGGATCCTGTTCGCCCTGCACGTCTTACGTCTCTTGTTTAGTGCTCCTAAAGCGAAAATTGGTTCTATATATCAAAGTCGTGTTTAGACGCGCTGCCCGAATTATCGGACGACACCCATGCATCGACCGTTAGAGCGTTGTTATGCCACAATACTAACAGAAGCTCCATATCGTATAGGGGGTATTCATAGCCAAGCCAGTTAAAATACAAAAAGACCCAAAGTACGAACTCGACATAGCACAGCTATGAAAGCCGTTGAACAAAGCCAGAAACAGACACGTCGCATTGACTCAATACTCAGAAGCAAATACGTGTCAAAAAAAACATTAAATAAACAAAGTGCGAAGTAAAGGATAGATAGATCCGAAATTACCCCGTGAATGTATTGATGGATCTGAAATAACACTAGGCGCTATTACCGCCATCAGGCTAAAAGCAGTTGTATACTAAAGCCATCAGGATTGAATAACGCCACGTCTCCATGAGTTCGCGCATTGGCTCAAGTGTATCTATAACTTATATTAACTTATATTACCATTCTATTTTAACGGGCCCGTTAAGCCTTACAAATGATAGACCTGAAACACTAAGCTGATCCAGCTGAGACACTGATCGGTTAACAGAGACTCCTAGTGGCTAGGGCTGCTAGAATCCAGGAGATCTTGATTTTCATCTTGCTATCTAGGTTGGAGAGGTCTGTTTTGTTTCGTGGTAGACGAGAAATATCTCAGGGATGTTTCAGGGGTCATCCTGGTGCAGGACCTGAAGGTACCTGCTTTGTGTGAGGTCTGATATGAGTGTGAGAGAGTGTGAGAGAGTGTGAGGATTTGAAAACTCCACTTGTATGGCCGATCTGGGTTTCGTGTGTACACCGGAATTTCCTTCTCGGAGACTCATCGATTATATATTGTAGATCAATATCACTGGATGTATCTTTATCCTAAAAGGCACCTAGGATATCAGCTTGTGACAAAAGTCAGTTTTGAGTCAACCAACACAAAACGATCTATATCCTCGTTGGTCTGGGGCTGGAGCTGCAATCTACATCTACTAAAATGTGATCAAAATTCCAAGGTCTCGAGTTTTTTTTTGTACAACTAGAGATAATTAGGTCTTGGGATCTGCATGTAAATATGCACTCAACTGCATTCAATCATCGAAGGATTGAAAGGTTGCATTTCTAACCCTAGTAAGTATGAAGTAGGAGAATGCTGTATGGTATAGATCATCGTGGTTGTGTCACTTCCCAGGTATAACAAGGTAAATTTTTAATTTTTTTCCACAGTGACCAGTTCGCACTCTGAAACACCGGTTTGACGATGTGCCCTGCTACTGCAGAATCAAGAGGAGGTAAAGGATCATCCCACTACATCGGGTTAATGAGAACATCATCATCAAGGATCATCCCACCAAAATGAGTTAGACTGTGTTTACGTTACCATCTCCGCTCTGGAAACTTTCAACGGCGATGATCATTGAGTGATCTATGCGCGTTAGTTGTATGTAAAGCATACGTGGATTGTATGGAGTATTATTGCAAGATTGCAAAAAGAATACCTGGATATACTAATTTTACGGTCTAGACCAAGGTAGCCGATCACTGAGCTGTCGGATAGGGTGGACATCTCTATATGCCTAGACTTGACAGCTCTAGGGACGAGCGAGGATTTGTTACGAGTCACCTCCGCTCCTGTCCGTCCTTTGTATCCAGGGTCGATCCTGCATGGTAATTCTCCGACACGTGTAGGCCAGCATAGGAGGGGGGACGGGGGTACATAGTTTGTGATAGATCCAATATCAAAACCCCACCTCAAAAAGGGGAAGACATGGCGTGTCAATTATTACAGAGCTCCTCATTTGCGACAATCCAGAATTCTGATACAACGGACCAGTAGCTAAAGCGAGCACTGACACTCCGCAGCACCCCAAAATACACAGGGGTGTGTCGATCGTAGTGCAAATGACATTTGCACCCACCCTGGCAACGGCATGATCCATACATATACGAGAGGTTGGAGTCAATGGTATGCAAACCAATTTCTCCTAGTCTCACCTCTCCTATTTCTAGGGCAGACGGTTAAGCGCTAATGAGTGGGACGAAATACAATAGACCCGCTGTCAAATGCACACGCGAGGGAAATCAGGAGCTCAAGTAAAGGCGACGTAGACCAATTAGGCTAAGTCTTTTTCTGGTTGACCCAAGTTGCCCAGGTGTGGTGCCATGTTGCTTATGGCATCAAATCCCCGTTGGAGTCCGTACCCAGATAGCCCGTGGGAGGAGCGATCGTCAAAACTCCGTTCAGCCCGAAGCCGATGACCAATTTTGTTGATCCGGATGTCGATCATAGACAGCAGGGGTCAATAGACTTGAAATTGAAGCTGGGGTAAACCCTTGGAATGGTCGAAGAGAAATGGCGTCATTGCAGAATGACTTCCCTTCCTGACAAAAGAAAATAAGTCTCCGAGGGTTCCTAGAATCCTTCTCTAAGCCAAACAACTGACAGGGGTGGAAAGCCGTTTGGAGGGATCGACAGCGAAATTTATTTTCCAGGAGCGTGGTCCTTAGGTAGTATGGAGTGGAGATATGGATAGTGGAGAAAGGAGCCGCTTAAGATCACGTGAGATACCGATACTCAGTGTTGACGGACATTGAATTCATCCGATACGAAGTAAATGCACGTGCAAACCTTGTTATCAGCACTTACGGATCCATATTTATTTCCCAGATTCCAGGGTTTCTTGGAACGCCTGGAGTAATATCCCAAGGTTGGTGGATTTGCCGAAGATTTGAGTGTTAAGGGTCCATGGAAAAGAGTTAAATGGGAAGCCAGTGGGAAGAAGCCAGAAATTAAAGTCATGGAGCTAAAGTCAGAAGAAGAAGTTAATAAGTAAAAAGGTTAATCAAAATAATATAATTTATGTATGGAATATGGAGTCTGGAAATTAAAATATTCCGATTTCAGGATCAGATCCCTCAATGGATTCTATGTTGTAAGGTAAAGCCGATCGGATATCCGACGACACTCCGAGATAGAACCATTGCATTGAAGTACCGAGGTAAGTAAACACTCTACATTCTACTATCTACATATATCTAATTCGGTGTATGTTGTATAGATATTTCTAACTAGTTCACTAATATATAACAAGGGGTGTAATAACACAGTAACTAAGTACTGTAAAATTAAAAAAGAAAGAGAAAAAAAAAAAAAAGAAATCCCAATTAATTCAGGGGATCCCCACCTTTTTCATATCCATGGTTCAGAGTAGAAACTATTGTACTAGTACGATCTGACCAATTTCTTTTCAACTTGGTTTTTTTCATTTTCTGTTTTAGTTAAGCATGTGTCCACTTTAAACGTGTGATATACTTTTTTTCACCCCCCTGTTCAGCTCCATCTCTCTTGTATATACTCCGTACGCCTTGAACGCCCCGTTAATTATTACTATAATTTGGGTTTACTTATTTTACTTATTTAATTATTTTGGGTCTATTTTTGATTACATTTGGTTTACTTTTTTGGACAACTCCTTTCGCCTTGTTTCTTCCCCTTCTTTCTCCCCCCACCTCTTTGTTTCCTTTGAGTCGATGTGGAAACGTTCACCTAGATCGGAGGACAACTCTGGGAACGACTCAACTCAACATCATCTATCTGAGCTGGGTCTCCTAGGTCGATCCCAAAAGTCCAGAAGTAAGTGTGTATTCGGTGTCTATCAACATCCGCATTTCCAGTCTTGGACCAAATGTCCTAGATCTGAGACCTATTGTGGCTTGTTCTAGATGCCTCATGGGGCAGGTCGGAATAAAGCTACCCTCCCCTGAGTGTTGTCTGGAGCTTTTTTTTTTCTTTTTTCTTTTCTTATATCCACATCTTCAATTCTTCAGTTCCTGCAAAATAGCCTCAATTTGCTATTAGTCTTGAAAGGCCCCCACCTTGCTAACCAGATACGTGTGACGTACAGAATTTCAATCGCAACCAGAGTCATCCTCGCGTTCACCTCTTCGTTCATTTCGTTCATTCACTCGAGGCGTGCTAGACCGGCCTAGTAGCAGTCTTTCCAACCAGACCGATATCACCCGGTCAAGAGCGCCAACTTTCGCATCGATTAATTCTGCTTACCCAGAACGCGTTGGTCAATCTACGCATTCAAATCGCTCACGAACATCATTTCATTCAAGATCGGGACGGATAACAGGCCCAATGGAGGTAGATCGCACCCACACACGGAGGGAGAGAACCTTTGTTGGGAGTGAATGCGCTGTCTGCGAGGAACCCCTGGAGCATACCCTACGCGGCGAGCGTGTTCTGCAACTCTCGTGCTCCCACGTCTCTCACGAGGCCTGCTTTTATGAATTTCTGCGGGAATGCGATGGACAATATTGCCCAACCTGCAATGCGCCATTGGCTTTGGACACAACTCGCGGTGGAAATGTCTTGGATATCGGTATGTTCCTCGTGCGGGGTTCGGAGGGGCCCAGAATGCTAATGTGATTTTTACCCCAGAGAAAATCAGTAATATCGTTCGCTCAGTGACGTCGAATGATACCGCTACAGTACGCAGTGGCTTAACAACACCCACTCCATGGGAGCAGTCGTTAAGTCGACGAGCACCGAGTGATTCCGGCAGCCGCTACACCTCGGGTACCCGAGAGCCACCAGCTTACACCTCAACAAGGGAGCCATCCTACAACCCCTCAGCAAAAGAGCCA